GTCCCGGTCCCGGTCCCGGTCCCGGTCCCCCGGCGGTTCCGCCAGCCCGCGGCGCTGTGTGTCGGTGCCGGGTCTCCAGGCGAGGGACGCTGCGTCTTTTGAGCTAAACATATACATATCCCCCTGTCTTTTTCTATTTCTTTCCTGTTCTTCCTGCTTGGACCTGCTAAGGGCTTCCCATGGGGACAGGTAGCTGACTGCTGAACGATTTTAATTTTATTTTGTTTTAGTTAAATCTTTATTGACTGATTGGAGAGAGAGACAAGGCCTTGCCGCGCTGACTTACGCACTCTTTGGTTAGTGTTTGTGTGGGCTCCGCCCAGTGGCCTTGGTGTGCTGGGAGGAGCCCAACCCGCCGGGCACCCCGCCCCCGCTCCCGGGCTGTTTTTAGAGGAGAGTCGACGCCCGGGGCAGGGCCCCAAGGGGAACCTGGAGCTTTACGGGTCGCAGTCAAGGCTCATTTCAGATGCCCTTTATTCGGATTATTGGTTTCATATTTCCCATGCGTGTAGGTGGACTTTATTCAGAAAGAAACAATGGAGAGGACCCCGCCTGGCTGCTGGTGGGGGGATCCGGGCTCGGGTCCTTCACCCGGGAAACCTCGCGGGGCTGGGGCTGGCCTGCCTCTGCCCCGCCTTGGACCACAGTTACCGCTGCCAGCCTCCCACAAAGCGCCTGGGGGGGGGGGCGGTTGGGGAAGGCCTCATGCGCCCCATCTCCCTCTCTCCCATTGCGTTACTTTATGCGTAAAAATTAGAGGCTGGCTTTCAACAATAAAGATAAACTTTGAAAATATTGGAGGGGGGTTATGGAAGTAAACTCGGGGGTCCTTAACGTTCATTGAGCTAATTAGACGGTAATGAGTGTACCATCTGTTTAATAGAGAAGTAATTGTTACAGCCTTAAACTTTAGGAGCTCTCATTCTTTGTTTTTGAGTTCCACTCATACGTTGGAAATTCTTATTTCAGGTCTTAGTTTGGAAAGAACTTGACTATGGCTCCATGACAGAAGCCGAGAAACAAATGCTTGTTTCTGAAGTGAATTTGCTTCGCGAACTGAAACATCCAAACATCGTCCGTTACTATGATAGAATTATTGACCGAACCAACACAACGCTGTACATTGTAATGGAATATTGCGAAGGAGGGGACCTGGCTAGTATAATTACAAAGGGAACCAAGGAAAGGTAAGTTAATCTTTTAAATGTAAGCTGAAAATGGGCCTGTTTTTGCTGTTTTAAGCATCCTGTTTTAGGATCAGGGACGAAGTACTTAGTAATGTGGAAGAGTGTTCTCGTATTTGGTGGGTCCACAGAACCTTAGGAAATCCCTTGTGAATCAACACCCATATTTCTTATCAAAATACGATGTTTAGCCCAGCCGGCGTGGCTCAGTGGTTGAGCATCAACCTAGGATCCAGATTGCAGTTTGATTCCCGTTCAGGGCACATGCCTGGGTTGTGGGCTTGATCCCTGGTGGGGAGGCAGGCAGGAGGCAGCCGATCAATGATTCTCTCTCATTGTTGATGTTTCTCCCTTCCTCTCTCTGAAATCAATAAAGATGTATTTTTAAAAATGTTATTAAAAATATGATGTTTATTTCCCCATTTGTACACTTTGAAAACTAGGTAAGTCATTATCCCATCTTTGTAATGGTTTTATCAGAAGTTATATACTGTATAACTGCTTTGATTTCAGACAGTACTTAGAGGAAGAGTTTGTTCTTCGAGTGATGACTCAGTTGACCCTGGCCCTAAAGGAATGTCACAGGCGAAGTGATGGTGGTCATACCGTGCTACATCGGGATCTGAAACCAGCCAATGTTTTCCTGGATGGCAAGCAAAACGTTAAGCTTGGAGACTTTGGACTGGCTAGAATATTAAACCACGATACAAGTTTTGCAAAAACTTTTGTAGGCACTCCTTATTACATGTCTCCGGTAAGTATTTCAGAATTTAGATACTTTTTAAACCTCTTAATGCTAAGCACTCAAATGCAGGAAAAGTGAATTTTTTGTTTGTGTGTTTAGTAATATCCAATAGCCAAGAATTAAAAACACTTTCATTTTTAATTTATATTTTTTCCAAATAGACCACCAGACCATTGAATTCCTCTATATCAGCAATTCAAGTCAGGCTTTTATTAAATGACTACCATGTGCTAAATTCTGGGATTACAAAGTGAAACAGGTTTTGTCTCTGGCCTCAAGAGCTGTGTTTTAAAGTGCCTTAGGTCCTGTATACCAGCTTGGACTCCTTTGGAATGTTTGTTCAAAATGCAGAGTCCTGGGCCCCATGCCCCAGTCCAGTGAATTCAGATCTCTGGACAGGTCTTTGCACTCCGTTTTTCTTCTTCTTTCCTATTTGGACTCTGCATTCTAGCAGATTCTCTAGATGATTCTTGTGCATGGAGATTCGGGGCTCAGGAGGCTCACTCACTTCAGATAACATATTTTTACAGTGTTAACTTTTGGTATTTGTTCATTTTTGTTGCCTTCTACAAGGGAGCTGCTGAAGCTACCTACTTATCTGTTTTCTTTATTGCTGGGTATTTTGTTTACAAAATTTCTCACCATTCTAAGGAGCACTGCTATCTATATAAATTATTCTTTCTTCCTTTTTGGTTATTTCCTTGGCAAATAGCTCTCAAAATGAAATTGCTGGGTTGGGTCAAAGGCTGTGAACCGTTTATGGCTCTCTAGATTTTGCCTCATGACTTTTGAAGAGCTTGAGTCAATAAGTGATAGCACCAATGGGTTGTACATGAGATCTGAGCACATAAAGGTGCAGAGGGATTAATTTTTTTTAGCAGTTCACAAACATTTCCAGGTTTTTCTAAATCTTTTTTAGTTATGTTAACCAATCTGACTATAGTATAAAACTTTGTGTTAATGATTTTGTTTTTCACTAAGATTAGACATGGCCAGAACAGTGTCATTTTCTCACTGGATCAAATTCCAAATAGAAAGCCTTTAACATAAAGGAAAATTATCCAGAAGTGGTTCTTGGAAAATTTGAAACCTGCGGGATTCTTTTGTTCCTTTCCCTCCTGCCCTTGTAATTAGATCTGTTCAGCCTTCCCTAAGACATTGCCAGGAAATGGCATCCGACCCACCTGCTGGTCTTTAAAACACTAAGAAGCCTCCTGAAGATTTTGGTACTTGCCTCTGTGCCCTCTGTTGAGAATAAGAGCTGTGGCAGACTGTTGTTACTGAGCGTGTGGAAGAAAGACAAACAGTTAAAGTAGGAAGCAAGAATATTAGTATTGTTTATACAGTAGACTAAGGAAAAAATATAAATGAGCAATTCAATTAGCCATTTTTTGTTGATATACATTTAAATGTGGGCTAGACGGATGTATTGGTTATTCTGGAATTTTCTCTGGTTCTTTTAAAATGGAGTTTCTAGATTATGAATGTCAGGAGGGTAGAGGTCTCATATTCACCTTTGAATTGTCAGTGCCTCGCTTATAGTAACAATGTTTGTGAAGGAAAAATAAATTAGTGAGTTATAGATGACAAAGTATATTAGGATAAGATCATTGCCTTTTCCCATTATAAACTTGAAGATAAATTATACGTTTTAAAACAAAATAAACTTTTAATTCCTCCTACTTTCTTACCTTTTCCCCCATAAGGAGCAGATGAGCCGCATGTCGTACAATGAGAAGTCGGATATCTGGTCACTGGGTTGTTTGCTGTATGAGTTGTGTGCATTAATGTAAGTACGATGAGGACAGATTTCAGTCTGGGGTTTATCCTCGGGTTTGTCACCTTTCACTGGATTCAATTTGACATCCATGTGTGTATTCACATCTGAAAGAATCATGCCTTGGGTTAAAATTAAAGTAGGTGGATAGGTAAAAAAATGATTTAAAAATTAATAATATAACCCTTGGCTGGATCTTGGCTTGTCCAAGCTCCTAACTTGGTTAGATGCTTCCTTGGTAGACTGATGCTGAGCTCAAGGGGAGAGCAAATAGGTCGCGCTTGTGGGAAAGATGAAACAAAGATCTGGGGTGAGGTCTGCAGATGTGGAGGCTAAGAAAGAGCTCCAGTTCTATTTTTCTTTTCATTTTTTTCTGTTCTAAGCTATTCTGAAGAGCAGTGATTCTCAACCAGGGAGGATAAAGCAGTTTTGTCCCCCATGGGACACTTGACAATGTCTGAAGACATTTTTGGTTGTGACAGCTGGGGATAGCTACTGGCACCTAGTGGACGGAGGCCAGCGATGCTGCACATCATACTATGATGCACAGAACAGCCCTACAATAATTACATGACCCCACATGTCAGTAGTGCCAAGGCTGGGAAACAGCTATAGAAGAAAATCCCAGAAGTAGAAACATAAATACAAGTTGGAGCTTAAACTGTGCTCTTGATTTGGTTCCTAATATATTTTTACATTAATTTTTTTTTTCTTCCAGGCCTCCATTTACAGCTTTCAACCAGAAAGAATTAGCTGGGAAGATCCGAGAAGGCAAATTCAGGCGAATTCCATATCGTTACTCTGATGAATTGAATGACATTATTACAAGGATGTTAAATTTAAAGGTAAAGATAAGATTATTTTGTCTGTTTCTATCTTCCAGTTAAGTTTTGGAGCATGTGTTCTCTCTCGTAAAGCAAGGAGGCTGAAGAAACATTAAATATATTTCCTTAGCTAAATCTACTCTGTTAACACAAGTGAAAACATGTATAAATTTGGCAGATTGCATGTCTTTGCTGGCTACCCTGTGTGCTTTCTCTGTGTCTTCTCCCACTTGCTGCCCTGCTAACAGATGGTTGGTAGCAAGAAAAGATTGCAGAGAGCTTCCAAATCCTAGTTCCCCGTGTCCTTGCCTACCTCACGGTGGCAGATGGTACAGAAGAGACCACAAATAAAGACCATAGATGGGGGGCGGGGGTGTGTGTGTGTGTGTGTGTGTGTGTGTGTGTGTGTGGCAGGGGGCGGCGCGGGAAAGGTAAAGGTAGTTAAAAGGAGCAGAGGGGAAATAACTCTAAGAGCTTAAGTGTAAAAAACCTGATAAGGCTGACATTAAAGTTAAATGCTGTGGGATTACAAAGAAGGATACAGATGAAGTAATGGAATTTAAGGGCTGTGAGAGGGTGTCCTGCTTCCTGTAGTTTAGAGATGCCCTAACACAGACCCTGACAGTGCTACTGAGCACCTGCACGGGGATGGAGCCTTCTAGGTTCAAGGGGCAACAAAGGTGAGTAAAATTCTGCATTACCATTTGGACCCAGAACCTCATGAGCTAAGGCCTCTTGTGAACTTATTTTTCCAGGTGGTTAATATGCCCTGTTAATGTCACCGCTCTCTTAGGAAGCATATTCTGTTATGAAATCTGACTATGACACTGAATGTCTTTTCCCTAGGATTATCATCGACCTTCTGTTGAAGAAATTCTGGAGAACCCTTTGATTGCAGACTTGGTTGCAGAAGAGCAAAGAAGAAATCCTGAGAGAAGGGGGCGACGATCAGGAGAACCAGAGAAGTTGCAGGATTCCAGTCCTGTGTTAAGTGAGCTGAAACTAAAGGAAATACAGTTACAGGAGCGAGAGCGAGCCCTCAAAGCCAGAGAGGAAAGACTGGAGCGTAAGTCTGAATGATGGGGCGACACGAACGAGAGCTCCAGGAGGGTGGCTGTGATGAGTGTGAACATCTGTTTAAATGAATCTGTTAGGACATCCTTGCCCCGGCCGGATAGCTCAGTTTGTTGGAGCGTCATCCCAAGACACCAAGGTTGTGGGTTCGATCCCTGGTCAGGGCACAACAAGAATCAGCCAATGAATGCATAAATAAGTGGAACAACAAATCCATGTCTCTCTTTCTCTTCCTCTATCTCAAATCAATTAAAAATTTTTTTTTATAAAAGAACATTCTTACACATACTTGAGAAGCCAAAATGTGCTTTGTAAAATATGTAAGTCAAGCTTTCTGGCATCTTCCTGTTGAGCTCCCTCTTTCTCTGAGGTCAGCTGCTGTCCTGGTATTGTTGGGCCCTAACTCTATACTTTACTATAGACTTTGTATACTCTAATGTATATATTACACTTTACTGTTATTGTTTTCTTTCTGTTTCTTGATATATATACCCCACAGGTTTTCCATTGTAAAGGTAGATCTTGGAATTTGCTTCCTTCAGTAATAATCATTATTTCTACTTTCTGATAGGGCTGATCCAACACAGTCCAGCCTAAAATCCTACAGTGTGTAGGACTAAATATGCTCAGGCAATTCAATCATGTGAATGCAAGATATTCTAGGTTTATAAATACTCTGATGGCTATTCACTGATTAGGTGCTCGTTCATTTTTGATGGTGAAAGTCTGTCTACTCCACTAAAGTGACAGATGCTACCAGGTTTTAGGATTATGCTGGGTAGCACACCCTTGTGGCTCACCTGATTTCGCTCTGCAGCTTTAAGCCAAATGCAGACTTTATGTGTTTTCTGTTTAAATGTACTTACAAGTGTTCACTGCATTCATTAATGTTCTACCTCCTGATGACAATTGTGTGGTGCCATGAGATATGCTTTTTGTAGAGGTACAGCTGATGCTTACCTGGAGACCTCTTTCGGCAATTCTGTCAAAAGAATTCTGTTAAAAAAAAAAAGAAACCTTTCTATTGAGATTTTCCCAAATGTTTGTAATTTCATATGGCAATTGCAATCTGAACTTTCTGAATTCTGGGCCATGAATAAACACTAGCCTTTGTCACTGATCTAAAGAAGTGCCTCCTGCTTGAGTTGTGGTTTCCTCCTCTCTGTTTGGGTGCCGTCGGTCACCCAGAAGAAAGAGGGATTGTACTGTGAGGCCACGAAACGCCCGGGAAATGGACTGTGGCCCTTTTTCAGTGAAAAGCAGCGGTGGCATTAGTTTCTCGTTTTCCCAAATGAGTTACCCCCACACGACCTGACCAAGGTGGAAGCTGACTTTGCACTGGGCTTACCCAGGCCTTAGAAAGAAACCTGAGACAGCATACACGCTGACACTGACCCAGGCTGGCAGGCAGGGCGACCTGCGAAGCTTCCCCGAGCCGACCGAGCGCTGCTGGGCAGGCTGGCCTCGGTGATTCGGAAGACAGGTTAGCAAATGGGAATTGTTTCGCACCCAAGGCCGCGCGCTCATTTATTTCCCTTTCTGTTCCTTTAATCCAGAGAAGGAACGTGAGCTTTGTGTTCGTGAGAGGCTGGCAGAGGACAAGGTGGCGAGGGCGGAGAGCCTGCTGAGGAACTACGGCCTGAGGGAGCCCCGGCGCCTGTCTGTGGCCAGTGGTCCAGGTTCGAGAATCCGCCCCGCAGGCGGCGCCAGTGCTGCTTCCAGGGGCCTTCGCAGCCCTTTTCATTTACAGTCTCAAATTTTCAGATGGAATTAATTGAATATATGCATTTCAGTGGAAATAAGAATACTGCTATAGCAACGATTTGCTTACTGGGTTCAAGCAATGAGTCATAATGATTTCAGCTTCAAATTTATTTACCTTATCCAAACTACGTGTTTAGTATTTGATGTTTATTTTTAAAAATTAGGACATTTTAAAAACTTGTATATTTCAGATTTTTCTCTGGGTATATTTTCAAAACTCTACATTTTACCATTGCCACGTGCCCAAATAATGCACATCACACCCTTCCTGGAAAGTATGGCTGATGATGTGTGATAAGCCAACCGTAGAATAGGCTGCCCCTTTTGGATCTTTGCTAAGACCCGTTCAAATTAAAACACGTATTTGTCAAAGTTCCGTTGTTTAGAGCCTATATGTGCTTTGTTTGTGTATAGACAGGGTCTCATATGTAGATCGTCGGCTTCCCAGGGCCCTGCCTTGTGTGGGTGTTGTCCCAGGCACTCTGCTCTAGTGTATGTACAGGCAGACCAGCTAACAGGTTTTCTCCATTTCACAGAAACCCTAAAACTAATTTAATCTACTCGTTAAGATTATGGAAAATGCAAAGCATTCATTCTTTCCTCTTGATTTCTTTTTGACAAGTTATTTTTTAAAGTCTTTTGTTGGTTTTCAAAATTATCTGAATTTTCCAGTGAAACTTGGAGTTCTTGCAGCTCCCTCATACCATGGAGGACAGCATGTACGAAGGCTCCCATTTCCATCTTGAATAAGTTGGGAGAGAATCTGGTCACTTCAGTGAGAATGGCAGCATTTTGTAAATAGAACAGACAAAACTACTTGAGTTAGTATGAGGATTATGGTAACTTTATAGTGATAAGTGGCAGGAATCAATGAAACTAGCAATGGAGGTAAATGAAACACATGGGCTTCATCTCTGTTAAAATATGTTCTTTCTTTTTTCTCAATATTGCTATTTACCATTCCTGTGTTTTTGTAATCTTTATTTCAGCTTTTCTTAGACTCCACATTACCATCCATAAAGGCAAAATATACTTGAGTCATGATTACAGTGATAGAGCGAGGAGAAATTTTTATCTGGATGAGTTTCATGCATGAAACCCATTGCGGAGAATTACCGAAGGCCCTGTTGGGCTGGCTCTTCCAGTTAAAGACTAATTTACATCTTGCTTTGAGAGTCTTTGGGCAAGGGATGAAAAGAGCCAGAGAAGGGTGAAGTGTTTCCCTTCATAGGATATGCAGTTAGGTACAGGATCTACCTGTATGCGAGTCATGGCAGGTACTTAAAATGAGCCATAGGAGTGGAGTATTCTCTGGGGCTAGGAGATAATTTAAAGTACTGAGCACAGAAAGTACTGAGTGTTTAGAGCCCTAAAATAAGCAACAGAGCAGTGGGAGTGGGCACTATTGTGAAATGAGAACAGTTGGAAGTATTCTGCCCCCGTCCTTGGCTGTAAAATTCAGACAAGAGGAAGGCATCCTAACTGTGGCCAGATCGTCACAGTGAGCAGCAGCAGCTTTTTCAAAGCGTTTGTTAGTCTATTTAATGAAATGAATTTTTTTCTTCTACTTAATGGAATACTCTTTTTTCTAAACACTTTTCTTATAAAATTATCCCACTCATGAGATTGACAGTTTGCGTAAGTATTTCTGTAGAAGTCCGTGGGAATAAAGGTGCATGTGTTTGAAACAATGGCGTTAAGGCTAAAAGCGGTCAAGTGTGCTTTGTCGCAGAAACAATGTTCCAGATAGGAAGTGGGGGCGCAGTCAGAGGGCAGCTTTTCGTTTCTCGCAGCTACTCCTCGCCTGGGCCTGGCCTTTCCTTCCCTTTGGCCTGGAGCCTGTTCCTCTATGTAGCTGGGTGGCTCCTTATTTCCTTACTTTCATCTTGTCTCTGCTCAAAAGTCACTTTGTTACGAGGCTTTGGTCACTGTGACCACCCCCAGCACTGCTGCTTCCCCTTCTCTGTCTTAGTTCTGCCACAGCACTACCCTCGGCTGTCCCTCCCGTGGGCTTGTTTACTGGACTGTGGTCTATCTCCTCCTACTAGAATAGGGCCTTTGTTTGGGCCACAATGGCCCATACAATGAGCTCGGAAATATTTGAATGTATTTCCTTTAAATGAACATAAAAGAAAAATAAAAAGGTTCTGGAATTCGGACCTGCAGGTCCCTAACCTCCAAATAGCCTGTCAGTAGCTAGTAGTGTTACCACTTCAAGTAAATTTTTTTTCATGTAAAAAGCACAGTTCGCCTTTTTCGCTATACTGTTACTTGATTTGCCTTTTCCACCCTGAATTTGCTTAGTTTCTTTTTGAAGCAAGTTTCTAGTCAGTCAGCTTTGAAGTAAGTGTTCTTGAATATTTAACGGAATGTTAAGAAAGAACTTCTGCCCTAGCCACTTTGGCTCAGTGGTTAGAGCATCAGCCCACGGACTGCAGGGTCCTGGGTTTGATTCTGGCCAAGGGCACGTACCTCAGTTGCAGGCTCCATCCCTGACCTTAGTAGGGGCGCGTGCATGGCAACCAATTGATGTGTCTCTCTCACATCGATGTTTCTCTCNCTACCTCAGTTGCAGGCTCCATCCCTGACCTTAGTAGGGGTGCGTGCATGGCAACCAATTGATGTGTCTCTCTCACATCGATGTTTCTCTCTCTCTCCCCCTTCTACTCTCTCTGAAAAGCAATGGAAAAAATATCCTTAGGTGAGGATTAAAAAAAAAAAGAAAGAGCTTCTGCCCTTATACTTTTCTGGAAGCAGCGTGTTCCAGGTAGAATGGCACTTATTTTCAAGAATAGGGATAAATGATACTGATTTCCAGAAGTTTCATATTGTGGCCCGTAATCCCCATGCATTTAACCTTAAGAGAAAAGTTGATTGTTAAGGGAATAAAACCTGTGTTCCTTGAATGTATTTGGCACATTCCAGGATTATTTTTTCAGTAAAAGCCTGATGGAATTCTTACCACCTGCAGGCTCCTCACCTCCCAGAGAAACTAAGATAGGTTCCAGATTTCAAATGTGAACTGAAAGGGAATATTTTGCTAAGTGTGATAAACCTGTTTAGTTAACTCAGGCCCTTTTTCTTTTTTTTCCTGAAGAACTTCTCAATCTCCCATCCTCTTTAATAAAGAAGAAAGTTCATTTCAGCGGAGAGAGTAAGGAGAACGTCATGAGGAGTGAGAACTCTGAGAGTCCGCTCACCTCCAAAGCCAAGTGCAAAGACTTGAAGAAGAGGCTTCATGCTGCCCAGCTGCGCGCTCAGGCCCTGTCCGACCTGGAGAAAAATTACCAGCTGAAAAGCAGACAGATCCTGGGCATGCGCTAGCCCAGCAAGAGACCCAGCTGTGTGTGGATTCACTGCGCCAGCCCCTTAAAAGATTGATATTCAACTGCCGCAGTTTGATATACCTGGTTCCGTGAGCCATGCCTTTCTGTACAGTAAGCATGATATTTTGGAATTGCCTTTGCTGTTCTTCAGCAATAATTGTACAAAATGCCGATACCTTTAATTTTTTTATTTTTTAAAAGAACACTTTATAGAAAGACTGTCACTTTCTTGGTTGTGCTTTTAATCCTGTGTGTGATTACTACTGGAACATAAAATATCACATTCTAAATATTGGATGGAAATAATGTCAGGAAAAAAATATTTACCCACTTACTGAGGAGTTTTAAATGACTGAGTGGTATGCTTACAGTTGTCATGTCTAGATTTAAAACTTAAAGTCTGAAGTTTTAAATATTCTAGAGCTTGGAAAACCTAATTGGATCCAAACTGGTCACTAATACCTTGACATCCTGCTTACAGGATGCCACTTATCAATATCCCATTGCTCTGTAGTGCAAATCTGTCACCTTTTGTGAAAATCCGGCACTGTGATGTCTATATTATTTTTTCCCTTTTTATTCTATCTAACTGTATATAGCTGGCTGTCATTTGCTCATCTCTTTCTCACTAAATAAAAGAATTCTTTAGTTTTCCTATATTTGTGTCTTGCATTGGTTGTGTTTCTGATTCATAGGCACTGAAGGGTAGGGAAGAGAGCCCGCCTCTGATGCTCACAGGAGCTGCAGTGGCACTTTGCTACCCATCTCATTAGTCCATCTACACCAGGGGACATTTGCAATGTCTGGAGACATTTTAAATGGTAATGATAGCGGGGAGGGTACTATTGAATCTAGTGGGTAGAGGCCAGGGATGCTGCTAAACATTCTACAATGCACAGGACACCCCCCCACAGCAAAACGTTAGTAGTGCCCTGGTTGAAAAACCTGATCTAAGCTAAAATTTGTTGGAATAGACCTCACCCTTGAAGGAAACTTACTTTTAAAAAGTTTTTTAAATTGATTTTTAGAGGAGGAGGGAGGAGAGAGAAACATCGATGCAAGATCGAAACATCGATTGGTTGCCTCCTGCACACCCCTTACCTGGGATCGAGTCCACAATCCGGGCATGTGCCCTGACTGACTGGAACTCAAACTGGCAACCTTTTCTTGCACAGGATGACACTCAGCCAACTGAGCCACACGAGCCAGGGCCTTACTTTGGTTTTGATGATTTTTTAAGTCTGACTTTTAATCTGAATTAGCAGTCCTTACTGTGCCTGTCACATTTTTCATGGGATGTTTTCCTAGCAGTGCTAATCCTTTTAGCTTAATGAAATAAGACCAAGTTATGAAGGGTTAATAATAAATGTGAAGAAATAGCTCCTTTATTAGTTATTACAGGTTTACTACCCAATTGGTAATATAGTTCCATAAAGACAACTGATATTATCCAAACAATCAGAAACTCATTACTGTCCTTTATGGTATACCCACAGGTTAATCTTAATGACCCTTTTGATATAAATGTTGAGTATAATTTGTGGGGCCCCATGCAAAATAAAAATGTGGGGCTCCTTGTTCAAAGTGCAGGGAACAAGTAGCATTAAAGGTACACAGAGAGCCTTGTCCTTTCTTCCAAGGTCTCTGTTTATTGTGGTGGTGTTTGCTATTTAATGTTCTAACTATAAAGCAAAAATAGAATTTTGAATTATTAGCATGAAGTTTACTATTCATCTTTTATGTTGTGCGATGCCAGTTTTAAATGCAAAAAGCACATGTGTAGAATCACTGAAATTATATAATTCGTATTTTGTGGCTCATCCGGGAGGATAGCTCAAGCTGGCCAGAAGAGAAACCCACAGATCCCTGTGACAGGCATCTGGGGACCCCTGACTCTGGTGCTTACTTTGTTCCGCCTACTTCCAGCCACCAGACCTATACGCTGCCAGGCTGAAGTAGTGGAGCCAGGCATCTTCCTTTCCCTAGGCCCACTGCCCCAGCCCACGGCAGATAGGTCACCCACGAGGATCTTTACACCTCCGTGCTGGTACTTTCTTCCTGGGTCAGGGTACCTGGCTGGTACTTTCTTCCTGGATCAGGGTACCTGGCTGGTACTTTCTTCCTGGATCAGGGTACCTGATCGATCCTGCCTCCCGCTGGCCCCCACCAGCCATGCCATGGGGCCGTTAGCCCCAGGAGTGGGGAAAGGCACTGGCGAGCGGCCGCTGCCATGCCCTGCCCTGGATGCTTCTCTACTTTTCCCATCTCAGACTCCGCCTTCATTTCTCATTCTTTCCTTCATTCAATCGACAAACAATTGAGCAGCTACTGTGAGTCAGGCACTGCTTAACATGCTGCAGATAAAGCAATAAAAAAGCACTGAAATCCCTGCCCTCATGGAAATTCCATTAAAATACGGCGGAAGAGTAAATGAGCCGCACATGGAGCATGTTAGTGCTAAGGAGCAGAATGAAGCAGGAAAGGGGACAAGGGATGGGGGTTGTCATTTTGGAAGAGGTGGCGATTAGGGGTGCAACAGGAAACAGAGGAGGCAGAGGCTTGGAAATGGAAATTTTAATCTGATTATACTCCCTTCTCCCTGCTTGAAAGCCAAGAAAATCTTGTTTCCTGTTCACCCCTAAAGCTGGGAACGCCTGGGGTGTGTGGGCAATGATGGTAGACCAGAAGGGATCTCTTTGATGAGAGAGCCCTCCCAAATGATGCTCCTTCAGCATCGCTCTCTAAGGTTTATCAAGATGCTCTTGCTAGGCACCAATATACACTTACCATTTCTGACTTGGCATAACCGCTTTTACAAAGCACCCCTGCTCACAGGCCTGTGAAAGCCCCATTGGACGCCGGGAGGATCAACCAGCTGTTGTGAGACACAGCAACCGCAAGGTGGCGCCATGGCTCTGCGAGACCCGAAGTCTGCCCCTGCCCGGAGCCAGTGGCACGGGTTGCTCCTGGGAGATGACATGCCAGGCGCTGGCTAAATGCCTCACTCTCATTATTTCATTCAAACCTCACAACACCCCCTGATAAATAGGCATCATTAGTGCCACATTTTTCATGGGGAAACCGAAGCTCAGAGATCACAGCTTGGAAAAGGCAGCTGGTCTCTGAACTGACTTTTTTTTGACTCCAAAGTGTGTACCCTTAACTATAACCCTCCAAAGGGTAGCAAAAGGTGAGCTTTGCTCCCAAACCTCTGGCATCCCGTAATGACTGATGGGTTAAGGGTGACAGTCCACGGCTTTACCCAAGATATGTGAATGCCTACGGAAGGCGCACGGAGAGCTGACGTGGGTAGGGCCCAGGGAGCTTACCACCTGCGGCTAGAGGGGCTGGGGGAGAGAGGTGGTCTTCAAGGGACCCCGGTAGGACCCCAGGCCTTCCCCCCTTTCCTTGGTATCTTCCATCATTCCCCCCATGGCTCTCCATTCCCTCAGAAGCCCTGCCCAGATGCCCGGCTCCCTCGGGCTGCCAGCTCCCTCCCCAGGCACCACTTCTCTCCGACCACCCCTCCCCTGAGGTGCTGTATGTTTCCAGGTGACCCTCCTTCCAGGACAAGGCCATTCCTCCAGGCACTTAGTTCCCTCACACACTGGAGGCTGCCCTCCTGGAATAAACAGGATGAAAGCGGAGGTGACACAAGGCAGCTGCTTTAGAAGGAGTGGGGAGAATTCAAAGTACCAACGAGGAAGGGTTATTGGGCACTGTGACTTGGTGGCTGGGAAAACAGGGGCCCGTATTGCACGGATGGATTTCAGGGCACAGAGAATGGTGAAAGGAGCCTTCCCGAGGGAGGAGAGACGGGGGGGCTGGGCTGATGGCCTCTGGGGGTGTGAGGCCTGCCCTGCCCACTACCTGGCTCCCCTTGCCCCTCCCCACCCCCACTGGAGGGCAGAGGGCAGCTGCCTAAGAGCCTCCTACCCCTGGAAGTTTGGGTTCAACACGACATTCAGAGGGGCCAGTGGGGCACGTGTGCCAACCTCCACCAAGGCTCTGGCACCGCACCCACAGCACTGGCTCCGGGGCTCCCCACACAGCCGAGGCTGCATCCCGGACCCCCCGGGACCACCCAGCGAGGAAGCAAGTCCCCCTGCTCCTGCCTGACGACGCAGCGGGTGCTCTGGAACCTTAGCCACACGCCCACGGGCCATGTTCACAGCGTCTGATTTTATTCCTTACATTTTAAAAAATCAGTTTTTCCTTAACTTATGAAGTAATAACATCAATGTAAAAAATTCTAATAATATGGAAATATATTAGTATAATAATTATTAAAAAATAAGTTTCCTTACCTTTAGGCTCACTTTCTAGCTCTGGTTCCAGGGGTAGCTGTTAAAGATCTGGCCTTTGGTGTTTCCTTCCCAGCTGAGCTCAACACCGTATTTAGAGGGGCCAGTGGGGGTGGGGAGGGGCCTCGGAGTGGGGGGTCTCTGTATACAGGGTCAGTCGCGTGTGTACCTACATATATGTGTCTGACTATGTGTATTTAAAGCACACTCACAAATAGGATCTTAATTCATATACTGTTCTTAATTTGCTTTTTAAAATTAACAATAATCTTTTCAGTTCTCTTCATTCTTTTTAAAAAGCTGCCGGAGTCATCTTTGGCATTTATCCTAAGTGCACTGTAGGAGTGCGGCCTTACCCGGAGTCTCTGAGGAACCAGTTTGCCCGGAGTGTCCAGCGATGTGGGGACCACAGCCCCTGCCTTAAAGAACTTAGGGCCTTGTGGGCGAGGCAGGCACACGCCTATAAAACACCGGCACACTCCCACAGGCGGATTCTGCTCCAGTCACAGAGTCACCAGCTTGGCTCTGCTCTCGAGAACCTTCACGGTCAGTTAGCTGGGGAAACAGTGGACACAGCATACAGAAGCTGTGCCTACTCCCGACCGGGGTTTGGCTGCCCTGGAGCAGGCTGGGCAAATCCCCATGGTGCCTGGCGGAGAGCCCAGGGCTCTGTACCAGTCGGATAAGGAATCTCCCCTCTGCTCCCTGTCAGCACGGTGTTGGCCCACCTGCCACGAGAACCATGTCCAAGGGCTTCCTACTGGGGGCCAAGCTCTGAACGCAGAGAGCCGAACACCTAACTTACACACTCAGCTGCGGCCTGACTTTTGCTTGTTTCTTTAATCTCTCTGAGCTTCAGGCTCCTCATCTGGAAAAAAGGACAGTAACGCCGGTGAAGATTAAGCGGGGAAAACTGTAGTCAGGGACCAAGAACTGTACCTGTCCATGAATTCATCCCACCCGCCTTCGGGAAAGATTTAAAGCAGCTTATAAGAAAACATGGATTTTAATAAAACACACATGTTAAAAGTAAGGTGGAAGGGTGACACCAGGAATGAGTCCAATGAGAATATCATACATAATTACACACTACTGTTGTCCAACCCATTTGGCCATAAGCTTCCTAGCAGCCAAAGCAAAAAGGGTGAAGAGCTTACTTACCCAACAGAGGCCCCTGGAATAAAGGCACTCCACTTGCACAGGAAATGTGGAAGCACCTGGAGAGCTCTCTTTTGCACCCTTATAAAGAGGACACCACGTGGTGGAAGGAGTACCCTCCTAGATGCCCTGCGCAGGACATGCAATGCCCAAGCCCAGGGCTCTTTCTCCCCTCGCCCCTCCATGCAGGTTGCTGG